AATGAAGAATTCCCTGTTGGGTCGGCCACTCCATCAAAGGTAATTGCCGTCTATCGCGTCCTGTACTTTGGTGTCAGGGGGCGTCCATCACCGGAACGGAATGTCGGCCATGCGAGCATCGTAATTCACCGAGCTATATAATTAGAAAGGCGGGAAATCTAAAAGAAGTGACAAATCACATCAGTGCATACAGAGGATTCGACTTGCATACAAACTCTGACAAAAAGGCCTAAAAGACAAACACAAAACACACACACACACATATATGTATGTATATATTAGTGTTTTAATAGAACTGCATATGCAAGAATATAAGACGAAGGGTTTTAAGTAATGATAACGGTAGTATTATTATTATTAAATAATAATAATAATAATAATAATAATAATGATGATAAAATATAAATATGCAAGTAAGATAGATATTGTCTGCAACTATGGTATATAATAATAATAATAATAATAATATGGTATATAATAATATGGTATATAATAATATGGTATATAATAATAATAATAATAATAATAATAATAATAATAATAATGGCAGTACTTGCAGACTGCAATGTATTTTTGAAGATCTTCAAAAAGCTATCAAAATACAAGGACCTTGAAGTCGAAATTTCAAAAATGTGGCACATGGGAACGTCAACAATCCCCGTTGTAGTTGGAGCCCTCGGATTGGTTGAAAAAGATTCCAGTAGACTAATTGAAGGGATCTCTGGAAGCCCATGCCTTAAAGAAATACAAAAAATTGTTCTCACGAGTACAGACTACACTTTAGGAAGGGCTTAGTCTATGTAATTTTTTTTTTTACTGTGGAAAATATCATGATTCCATTTCTAACATTAGGTCCCTGGGCGGGACCCGGAAAGAAATGAGTACACATCAGAAATCAAAGGAAATAAAATAATAATAATAATAATAATAATTATAATAATAATAATAATGATAAAATGTAAATATGCAAGTAAGATAGATATTGTCTGCAACTATGGTATATAATAATAATAATAATAATAATAATAATAATAATAGATTCCTTGTTGCCCATACCTTAAAGAAATACAAAAAATGCTCTCACAAGTACAGCTCACGCCTTACGAAGTAAAATATGTGTGATTTATTATTTTTTCAAAACTGCTAAGTGGATAATGGCATGATGCCATTTCCGACCTTAGGTCTCTAGTTGGGACCCGGAAAGAAATGAGTATACACCAGAAATCAAAGGAAATAATAATAATAATAATAATAATGTGGATATTCAAGTAAGAGAGATATTATCTGTTTATATCTCTGAGATAAGGTATTATGATTACTTACATTATTTACATTATTCGGACTATTATCCTCATCTTCGTTGCCAAATTCACAACGTTTCAGCCGTTGTACACCCTTCTTCAGGAGATTGAAATTTCGAACCGAACGTTTTATTTCGTCCACCGGAGTAGATTGTTCTAGTTCCACATGGCATGTTATTTCCCTTTAACTCAACACACCAAGTTTTGGTTCACCACTGCGGTGGCCTGGCATTGAACTTATAGCTCTTTGGGGCGAGTCACTGGATCTAACCAACGTCTCTATCCACTGGGCCATGTGGAAATAAAGGGTTCGTTTCGAAATTCCAATCATATCATATTGTATTCGCCAATCAAGTTCTTTCAAAGTCTTGGTTTCGCATAGAAGACTTACTCCTTTAACCAAGCGCAAAGAAAAAAGTCACAAAGTGTTTAGGCAGGTCTCCTGGTTCGACCACACTTACATAAAATAGGGGGGTACTTTTCTATCACTATATAAATAAAACAAAAGCAAAATATATCTTTATATATATATATTTCCCTTTAAAGATATATTTGAAGTATATATGAAATTTTACACAAACACACATACATACACACACACACATATATATATATATTAATAATATTTTATTTAAAAAATATTTTACATCGCTACATAAAAATTTCTATGTTTCGGAACTTAAAATTGTTCCATCATCGGGCGATGTTAGGTAACTTATGATAAAAATGATTTACTTTTGAAAACAGCTTACAAAACGGTCGACCAGACTGTTACTGTCGAACTCTCTGCCATAGCAGAGAGGAACTCGGGCGAAGCTTTGCCGAAGGGCAAGGTTTCGTCCGGGGAGGTAGACAGGCCCTGAACCCGTCTAGGCGGGTTCAAAGGGAATATTTTTGGCTGAGCCTACGAGCTCGGAGAAACCCACATTAAACTCGGCCTTGTGCCACATACATTCCTTATGGGGGGACTGTTAAATATAACAATACGGTAGCTTATTTAAGAGTTAAAAAGTAGAGAGGAAGAAGATTACAAAATTTTGTGGGTATGTCCAGGTTTACGAATCAAAAGACGGGTCAAGACTAAAGCAGAAAAGTGATAAATATAGGTTGGAGGTTAGGGGTAGGTGAGTTATTCATTCATGTCTAGATGAAATGACATTTTTAAGACGCGTCCCTTTTAGCTGACATCCGGTTATGAATGTAACTATAAGATACATTAAAGTTGACAGAAAGATATACTGAACAAAAGTTTAATTTTAAAGAATTTCAAGATTTTAAAAAAAAGTATATGCTTTAAACTATCTTAAAGGGGCCTCTAGCATAATTAAATCATTTTTATATATATTATTTTGAATCTAAAATACAATACTTATTATGTTGAATGCGGAATAAAACGTGGCAATATTAAAGTTAAAAAATCAAGGTATTAAATAAATATATGTACCATTATATATCAATAAAATAATGGCTATATAATTGTAATACATAGAATTTTTATGAAAAATTCTATAAACTATATTTTAAAGTAAACATTATGCAATACCTACAAATTACAGTTAGTTCATTATGCTGGTTTAGGAGATCATTATTTTTAACAAACTTAATAATATGCAGCTCTTCACGTAGACAAAGCGGGCATGGGTCATTTAAAGACTTAGAAATTCTCGATTTTTTATTATTTCCACTTTACTGTGGGTTTTTTTTTATTGATTTCATTTAAATACCACAAATATTTAGAGAAGGATGTTCGGTTACGCTACGCATTGTTGTTAAAAGAAGAAATATGTTGATACTACCTTTGTTTAAAAGGGTTCTTTGTGCTACCGATATAAAATTTCTTAAAATCTGGGTTTTCAGTGGATGAAATGGTGCATTGGTAAACAATAGATTCAGTAAGACATTTATTTTGCAATGGACAATTTATGGAATTTCCACAATTACATAATTTGTTACCAATATTATTGATTTCTACTTTGGAATTACTATTAATATTTACGTTTAAGTGTTTATTTAAAATTTTATTATTATGGTTTTAATATTTTTTTCCTAGATTATCAGAACGACTATAACTTAATTTAAGCGTATTTTTTTTATTGAAAATATTGCTTAGAGGATTATTACTTGGAAAATGTTTCACAATCAAAGCAAGAAACTTTTGCCTTAACTTAGTGCTAACCATTTGGTGAGCCATTTGGACTCTATCCAGGTTGGAGAGTACGGCGTGTGCAGTTCCCGCCCAAATACGACAGCAGTAATCCATTTTAGACTTGAACTGGCTTTTGAAAAGGTAGAGTATAGCAGGTGGAGTCAGGTATTTACTGGAGCAGTACAGGGAGCTTACCATTTTGCCTGTATCTTTAGCGAAGGCTAGGATGGAGGAGTTCTACTGGAGGTCAAGTGTGAGTTTAAAGCCCAATATCCTTTCATGGCACGGTAATTCTTGGAGGGACATCCGTTCATCATTAGTTCGAGATCCGATCGACGGTGGGCGAATGCAACTAGTGAACACACACACACACACACACACACACACACACACACACACACACACATATATATATATATATATATATATATATATATATATATTTAGCATGGAGAAAGAATGAGAGTATTTCACAGAGCTAACACATTTCATCCAAACATATGTGTATATATATTTGTAAGAATATATATATATATATATATATATATATATATATATATATATACTCATGTATCTGTTCTTATAAATATATCAGTTAACTTGTGTACATTATGTTTACATTAATGATATCCGTCAGCAAAATCATACCATATATATATATATATATATATATATATATATATATATATATATATATATATACATATATACATACATACACGCACATATACATATACAGATATACATACACACACACATGCACACATATATATACACATATATATTCATTTAAATAACGATTTATGGAGTATAATACAAAATTAAGAAAAATAATTTTGCTTCAATTAATTTCTCTCTGCGGTAACTGGTTTCTTTTTCTCTAAAACGACGGGTTCCTTCTGATCCTCCTGAAATCGACTGTATATATATATATATATATATATATATATATATATATATATATATAGAGAGAGAGAGAGAGAGAGAGAGATGGAGGAGTTTCTCGTCTGTTTTTTCGACGTATGAAGGTCCTGCAGTTCGGTTCTTAGAACCAAAACAGCCAGACAACCCGCGCATATGATTTGATTCTACCGGCGAAGCCAGAACTAATCACAGTTTAGAAAGAGCCGAATACAGAGTAATGTTTCACATAGTGCGCCGCAAGGTCCCCAAATGATCCTCCTCAGGTTCTGAATCACAGTTGTGCTTCTAGACCGGTTGGTACCCAAGATCCAATCCGTCCTAGTATTTATCCGTAACTGGGGGCATGAGGGGGAGGATGGATTCATACCTTTCCTAAGTTAATGTAATAAATAATGCGAACTCAGCTCTCCGATTCTAATAAATTTGTATTCCCATCATAACAACAAAATAAAATCCATAATAATAATCAGATTATACTTAAGAACACTTAGAATTTAATCCTTGTGGCTTTATTGCCTTGCTTGGCGTGAAATTATAGAAAAAATAGTGCGATATATGACAGTTTGAGAATCGTATAGACTATGTGAAACTATCAGTGACTATGTGTCGTTGATTCCTATGTCCACAAGTTATCTATCTATCTATCTATCTATCTATCTATCTATCTATCTATCTATCTATCTATCTATCTAAGTCTCTTCATATCTATCTATCTATCGTCGTGGGTAAACTACATCCGACAGCAAAGCATCTAATCGGGA